GTACATCTACTTGCTTCAACGTAATTGTCACATCCTTGTCTGTTATGCCATCTATAAATTGGTCATGTGCTACTGAATCCATCATTTCATGTGGAGCATTCATGTATGATAATTGGACAAGCCTTCTTCTGCAAGCTTGGCTAAGATCTCTTCTTTCTTCCATACCTGTTCCAGATCTGTGTTATGGACACTTCATTTTAGTGTGTCACTCCAAACCTATTGGGTAGGGAAGCTACCAATGCTTGATAGTTGTTATGGGTTTCAGCTGGAAGATTAATGTTTGTCAAGCTGGTCATTCTAAATGGGCAGCAAGGTGAATAGCTGGATGTTTACTACTGCATTCATTCACCTTGGAAGTTATTTCAAACTGAATCCGAGATGCTGCTCATGGCACCTTTCCATTACTGTCTGTTGGCTTCTCAATCAGATGATGTTGAGTTGGTTATTGAGGTAGAAAAGAGCATCAGTTACAGAATAAGACATCTGGAAAGTGAAAGTGTAAATGGCAAGATTAAACCTGTCACGCTACTTTCTGTTGATACTGAATACTTCTGAATATCGCTCAGGTGAAACGATACATTGCCATGATCATCATCATCATCAAATTGCTCAGCTCTTTTGAGGCACAAATCACAGTTAATTCTGTCATCAAATGAAAATGTTCCTGCAGACATGCTGTAATTACTGGTGATGCTACTGGCACTAGGCCTCATCAGCACAAATAGTTGAAATATCCAGCTGTACCAACACTTGTGCCTTGAAATTGCCATGTGAACTAGACCTAGGCTTCCCTAACCTACTAAAGACCTTATTACACTGACTTTCTAGTTCTTTAATTGACAGTCCACTTCTTGTATTACTATGTTCTCTAGTATGTGCAATACACGATTTTTTAGTTTTTGTAAACCATTAGACCTAATATTATATCCCCACCATGATAGCCGAAAACAGTGGCTGTACTCATTTGATTGTGAGACACCAAGTAGGTCATGTATGCACGAACTGACACATTCTCAAGGTAAATGCATAGTCCTATTATTTAATTGTTATAACTGATGGCATGGTTCTTGAAGATATCAATAGTGGTGTTTCATAATTATTGTTATTAGTTCATGCCCTGTTATTAAAAAGAACAAGTAAAAAACAATCTCTTGCCCTTAATGAAATTTGGCCAAATTCTGAAAAAAATAAATAACTTCGACAAATATGGATATTTTGATTTTTTTAGGTATCTTTAGATACTACAATGAAGTTGAATACCTGTAGAACTGCTTATGTTTTGTTTTTCTGAAGAGAAAATACCTAAAAAAAGATCATGATTATGGTAATTTTAGATATGTTAACCATTGTTAGTGATGTGGTTACATATTTTTAAGTAACAAACAGACAAGTGTCTTGAATATTTGCATCTTAACAATGATCAAAATGGCTTTACGAAATTTTTCATGTTTCCTCAAATCATCCAATCTTTTTTCTTATAATGATTCAGTTCTGTTAGACTGGGTTATCTCAAAACAAAAGGGATTGTTTTTATTAATAAAGTCAACCATGCAAAACATAGTATTAGTAGTGTAAATAGATGGTTAATACAAACTAACAAAATTTAGCTGCAGTATTCAACTTGTGGAATTTCAAGCAAGAGCAAAAGGTAAAACACCTCTTAACGTAATGCTTCAACTAATTTGAGACAAAGAACAATGGAACATCTCTGAAAAAAAACAAACCATTGGCATCGAGTTTCGTATGAACTACTTCATGCTGGCAAGATAATGCAACAAGGTGTCACCTGAAAAACTGGCTGAAACAGATACAAGCCAAACATTTCACATGCGATGTAAATCAAAATATAACACATGGACAATAGATCTTCTGGTCCTTCACAGCTGTCCTTGCACATTCTCCGTTGAAAAATTTAAATAATTCAAACCCGACCTTTAATTTTCAGAAAATAATCAATTACCCTTTTAACCTCTTCTAAAGTGCTGGCCTCTACTAATGTCAATGGAAAGTCATTCCCTAAGTTAAAAATAAAACTGTCTTAACCTGAGACTGGCCTGTCTTTTCCAATCTTTAAACTGTATCCTCGTGTCCTATTATTTTTTTTATAGAAATCTGAGGCCTTTATTTTATCAGTCTCCCAGATAATCTTGTAAACTTTAGTAATATCAACTCTTACCATTTTTTTCTCAAAAGAAAATTAATTAAAAGATCTTAACCTCCTCTCCTCTCTGTAACTTATAGTTACATTACATTATGATGATGATGTAACCAGCTGTAATAACTTTTCTTTAGTAATAAATGATATGCACTGTTCTGTTCATTTAATATGGGTTTGAGTCTATCAGTTAGTAACTTTCCTTTATTCTCATCTCACATTCGTTGTTAACCCTGGATATTATTTTAGTTTTCTATACTTACAAGTTCATTACAACTACATAGCACATATTTCTAAGTACTTGAATACGACATAGATCTCAAACTTGCATGCCATTGTATATATTTATACAAACTAAAAATTTTCTTCCAACATTCAACATAAAGAATTTCAAGCATAAATCAGGAGAAAACTTCAAAATCGTGTCCAGGGCTAATACTGAACAGAAGTCTATTAATTAATAGACCCAAACCGAGGATAAATGAACAGAACAGTGTATTAGCATTCTCTCTTGAATCACTTTTCTATGTGAACATATAGCTTATTTTATGTAAATGGCTTCTTCAAAGTATTTAATTTATTGGTCTACAACAGCAGTTATAACAACCTATTCCACAACTTGTGACAAATAATTCCATAAATTCCAGTTGAAAAATTTTCTGTTGCTATTCTACAGCCAATATGAAGTTTCAATTTTTTTGTACAATGTCAGCAAAACATAATACTTTCATTAGTATAAAAATACTTTTCATTGAATAACTAATTTTTAGAACAGTAAAATGTGACAAGTGTGACAACTAGCCCTAGTCTCTCCTACTCACGAATACATTATTTCATCTATTCATAAGTGATGCTTTTGATGTAGAAGGATAAAAACTAAAACAAAATGAAGAGGGGGTCTGAAAGTCCACCCAGTAAGGTTTCCAGTGGCATAACTCCTTTTCAGATGAACTAGGGGGCCAAACAACCCAAGCCAAAACTAGTTTTAAGATGTTATAAAACCATCATATAAAATACAGTTTTGGAGAACTATTTTTACTAAGATTAAATGTCTTTCCTTTGCTTCTTTAAAACTGAAATATATATATATATATATATATATATTACT